CACACACACACACACACACACACACACTGTCATCAATGATTCACTCTAGAACAAAACCACCAAAACGACGTCAGCTGACGAAAACCAATTCAGACCCGTTGCCAGTTGTGTACGAACCTCATGTGGCTCGTTTAGCGCTTACGAGGTTTGTGCACAATGAGAAAGCTAGAGCAGAAACCTCGTAAGTCCTTTTTATTTGAAATTATTAATTTCATTACTTCAAATTCAAACATGTGAGAAAATGAAAAATCTTATTTTTTTAAAGTTGAAAAGTTTCCTGAAATATTAGAAATCAAAGGAAATAAATAGTTTTTTGCCTCTCCTGTAAACTATTTTGATGACGCTTAGTTTTGTACATGACAGCAACGATATGATGGAGTCTTACACTGAACAGTAGAAATGATCTTCATTTCCTTCCTGCTTCTTGCAACCTTTAGGTACAGACTTAAGCTGTGGAGCCAGACGGTTGACGCCAGACACGGAGTACACATTTGTGGTCACTGCACTGACCAATGAGGGCAAGTTTGAGAGCAAGGTCACCAAGAAGAGAACAGCCAAGGACGAATGTGAGAGGGGAGAAAGATATTGTTGCTGTTTTTCCTGTTCTTGTTGTTACTTACTTTACTTTTACTTTATCCTTCCTCTTGTACCTCTAGGGCGTGGAGGGGAGAAAGAGCTCCCTGCCTCTAACAAGTTTGATGGCCTTGCTGGGTGGGATATTGTATGTTCTCAGGGTATCCTTCACACCCTGGATCCAGGTCTTTCTTGGTTTTCTTCTTGCCTTGTACCATGATACTTTTCTGTAGTAGGCTTTACTGGCAAGCTGGTGAGGTGCCATATGTGTGAGATGTCCAAACCACCTGAATGTTTGCCTTTGAATGTAGTGGAGGACATGTGTTGAAGATAGAGTTAATGAGCTTGGCTTTGGTCTCAGTGGGGATGTTGGGATGTTTGAGGAGTGGGGCAAGCTGGTAGCTGACGCTGTTAGCCTTTTGTACTCTCATCTCAGTTTCTCTGTTGAGACGTCCCGTTTTCTGAAAAGGTGCTACTAAGATACTTGAAATGGCTGACTTGTTTCAGTGGATTTCTGTCAATTGAAACTAGTCAGCGATTTGTTCTTGTTGTTCATTAGTTGAATTGTAAGGGACGTTTTTTTTTACTAAATGTCTTTGGGAAATACTGGAATTAATGAGTGATTTCTGCAGTGGCCACTCTGAATGTGTGAGTTACTGTGAAGTCGGTGGTCTAGTTGTTAAGCTATTGGGCTCTTGACCAAAAGGTCATGGGTTCAAACCCCATTGGGAAATGGATAATTAAAAAGTGTAGGTTCTAAAGGCAGAAAAATTAGTATACTTTAAAAGACGAAACTCAAGGAATTCTCAATATTAAAAAAACCCCAACAAAAACAATAGAAGTGTGGCATGATGCTAACTTATGAACATGGAACATTTTGATAATTATTACCTACATTTAGGCTTCAAATACAGTTGAAACTGTCTAAGATGGCAGCCCATTTTTGAGAAGAGTGGCCGTGTTAAAAATATGCAAGAGAGAGAAATGGAAAGAGTCCATTTGTACAACTGATTGTCCCATAGAGGTGATCGTTTAGAGCAGGTGTGGCTATTGAATAATATTTCTTTTGTTTATGTAATTTTAGTTTTTTGCCTCCCCAGTTGATTCAAAGGGATGTAATTTACTTTTCCTTTCCTGCCCAGTTGACCCAAACCGGCCTCCATTATACCAGCCTCCAAAGAAAGAAGAGGACAACAAGTCAGCCTCCCAGAAAAAGAGAAAGTCTGTTGGAGATGCCCGCTCTGCTCGCCTTAACAGTGCCAAGGTTAGAGAAGCTGGACTGTGTCTGTTTATGTTTCTTTGTTGTGGTGCCAGTACATCAACTTGTGTGTTTGTGGTTGTGAATGGATGTGCATGCTTACACATTATGTGTTTATTAATGAGTTAGTGTGTCCGAATGAGCAAAGAGAACTTGGAGTTGGGAAGAGAAAAAGAGCGCTGAGACAGAGACAGGAAGAGGGGACGGTGGGGGGGGGGGGGGGGGGGGGGGGCCCTTTTTATTTGTTCAAATGCTTTGTTTAAATATCTAGGATATATGATAACATCTGGCGCCAAATGTTCCACAGAAATAAAAAGGAGAACTACAATGGCTAAGGCTTGTTTCAATAAAATGAGCCCAATCCTGAAAAATAGAAACATCTCAATGAACACCAAAATGAAAGTCCTGAAATGCTATGTTTGGTCAACCTTTCTATATGGCTGTGAATGCTGGACAATCACTAAAGACAGTGAAAATAAAATAGAAGCAACAGAAATGTGGTTTCTTAGGAGACTGCTAAGAGTATCATGGAAGGAAAAGAAATCAAATGAGGTAGTGCTTGATGAAGCCCACATGGGACGCTCAATCTTAAAAACAGTCAGGAAAAGACAAATGCAGTTTTTGGGACACCTGAATAGACATAAGGGTCTTGAACATGGCAAAATTCGGGGCAAGCGAGGCAGGGATAGGCCCAGAACGACATACTTAGGGAACCTAAACAAATTGGTAACAGGGAAAGACCAGGGAAACATAACTTTTTTGAGAGCATCCGAGCAAAGGAATGAATGGAAAACCATGATCGCCGATGTCTGTCGCAGATCTGGCACTGGATGATGATGATATGCTTTGTGTTTGGCACTATTGAATTTAGATTGTAAGTCCTTGTATTTCTGTTGGTGAAGTCAATTGGAAGTCACTGGCTGGAAGTCAAGAATGTTTATGAGTGAAAATGCACAATGTCAGTGTGGTCCATTAATATTTTTATAATAAATCCTAAGTCAAGCTCAATTCTAGGATTCTAGGAGAATAAAGCTTTTTAATTTCTTATCTGTTTTGGCAGTTCTTGTTTTGTCAGGATCTAAGATTTTAATTTTGACGTTTTTGCAATGAGATTTTCAAAGTTTGATATGAGAACAAACGTAAACTCTTCATGTGGTTTTAGAATATAGGCCTACTATTAATTTAGTGACTTCACCATCTTTTGACATATTCAGACCATATCATCGGCTGCCTGATGAAATCGTGAATTCCACACAAAGCAGAGGGAAAAAATTGATTTCTTCCGTCATTTGGCGTTCAAGACATAAACTAAACAGATAAATCTAGTGAATTTCCATTTAGGGCAGATGGTCTTTTTTTTCCAAAATGTGTGGGATTCACGATTTTCATATTCGAATCTCGCCTGATGCGGTCGTTAAGTGGAATTCATGATTTTATCAGTAGGCTTTATGATACGCGGTGCTGTATTCACGGTTATAGGCAGTGTGTTTTCTCTTATTAGAGGCCCTGGTATGTTTAAAAATATATGAAAGCGCGAAATACTGTTATACAAATGATTTTTAAAGACCAATTTAAAACTGAGTATGAAATTACAGACTGAGTGAAACAGAAAGCTATTCATTATTTTACCACTATAAACAATACATCCATCATTCTTAAATGAAGGGGATATATTTATAAAGTCTTACTTCTTCATTTGCGTGCCCTCTCTCTCTTTCTATCCTTCTTTCTCCAGTTGTATGTAAGTGTATGTCCTTTTTTATTGGGCTGGGGGGGGGGGGGAATTGAGAACCTGATTTGTACCTAACTTCTAGACCCCGTGAATGACTGAATGATCATCTTTCATTTTTTTATGCTTTTCGTCTCTCAGATCCTGTATTTGACGCTCATATGACCTTACGCAGTGCGAGCGCAGTAAATCCTTACTAAAACTAAAACTAAAACTACAAAGATCTTGAAAATTACTCTTTGCTATTTTTAAAGGGGAATGATACAGTGGTGGGGGACTGTTTGTTAAGTTTTCCTTGTCTCTGGACTTTAGGAGACTCTCCCACTCTTCGTTAGAGCTCAGTTTGTAAAGAATTTCTCCTCATGTATATCAGAGGCTTCCTATAGTGTAGGAGAGGAACGACAAAAATACTGGAAGAAAGGAAAAAATTGCAAAAGAAACAAAAAGTATTGGGATGTACATAAAATTAGGTCACTTTCAACATATTAAAAATGTACATTCACGCATTAATGGGAAATGCTATTTTTAGCTCATGACGTCACCGGGGTCAACTTTATAAAAATATCTTTTAGAACATGGTCATGTTGCACCTCGTTTGAAAGCTCGACAAAAATGCTGTTTAAATATGTGGTATTTAAAAAGCTTGGAGGCCAAATAGGAACACAACACACCAAATGGAATTTCACAACAGTAGATCGTGCACGTTCATCATGTCCGGTATTTCAAGAGAATTCAGCCCGCCAGGAAACTCCAGGAGACTGATATCATCTTCCTCAGTAAGTGATGAGCAATTTGTACAGGTCAAACCCATGCAACCTCCACAGGAAACAGAGCATTCCAGTCTGTGGCGACGACACGTACACTTTGTGGACTTACAATATGTTCTACAGCTGCACTTAATCACCTTCAACAGAGAATGTGGGGCAGGTGACATATCTGTCTTGCATGGCTGTAAGTGATCATCGTGCAGCTGCCATCCCCATTGTGTCTTGAATATTACCTGCACTTGAAGATACACCTGAAGACTGTAGTACTTGGCTGCAGTACTGGTTGGCGGCAAGCATTGGATTTGAACGGATGTGGCACATGATGCAACCCTTACATAGAACCTCTTGTAACGCAAAACTGTTGGCCAAGGGTGTCTGCAGCAGTGCCATTGTAGAGACTGACTAAAGCTCTTTCTCCAGCATCATTGATGTCTTCCTGAGTCTTTTCTGCTGTTCAAAAAAATATGAGCGCGCTTTCGAAAATGAGCATCTGTCAATTTTCTCATTGGAACCATTTTTCCCAGCCCAAAAAGTCTCGAAGTTAAATAACAGCCTTTGTAAACTTTTATGATTGTCGCCAGCTTTTCTGTCTGATCTGAAGATAATAGGCCTGCTACTGAGCTGTGCATGGTGGCAAAGGAGCACGAGCAAGTCTGTATCTTCTCCAATGACAGCTACAGGGTTGGTTGCTGCATACCCCATTGCAGTTTTTACTATGAGTGTGTCGGCATCACCAGCAACGTGAAGACAGTGGCAACCAAGAGCCATCAGAGTGCCTCTAAGGAGGTGAACAAACTCCTGTTTGTTCCTTGGATTTGAAAGGAAGTGTTCCTTGCTTGAGATTAATGGCATTTCTTTGGTGAACACAACAGCTGGTCCGACCACACCTGCAGAAATCCCGAGGAAAGCGGCAGCTTTTACTGACGGGCCCGACTCATACCCATCAAACACTACGATGGGCTTAGAATATTTCTTGTTGACATATTCAGCATACCTATTACAAATTACGGAAACGGGCTCTTTCTTCCTCCAGGGAATTGTGAAGAAGTGAACCCCCGTCCAATATGGTCACCATGTCCATGTACTCATCTTTCTATAGTGGATCTTCTTTGAAGAGGTCTCTCATTGAATCAGCCAGCTTGGATTTGTGTGCCTCTCTCATCAATCCTAATGGTTCAAAGAGAGATGGTGGTGGAGTCGTCAGTTCATACTTCAACACAGATGGGAGATAATAATCGTCAACGTTTGCTGCTGTAATCATCCGCCTAAAGAGAAGTTGAGGATTGACTTTGTATGTTTTCACCCTCCATTTTGGCAGTGATTTTGGTGACCATGCTAACAACTTGGTCTTTTTTTTTTTAAGGTGGAGTCCTTCACAGGTTTGCCCTGCATGGTCTGCAAAATAACCTTGCCAACATCTTTTGCAGTGTCGGCATTAACTGTGGATTGAGCTGTCACCCCTGTGCATATATTCCGTAATGTCTGATCACTGGCAAAGGGGTTGCGATCTTTTAGGAAACTAAGGAGCAGTCTCATATCTTTATCATCTCTCGTTTGTCTGGCATTACTGACTTCAATATGTTGTTGACTTGTATTTAATTCTGTACCAGTAATCCGCTGCATTTCATTGTATATTTTATCAGCACAAGCTGGCATGGACATGAGCCACTGTGTTCTCTGTGTATCTCCCATGCCTCTACCACGGGTCAGCCCTCCTGCAGACTTTGGGTTTTTCATTAAGACTTGCTCAATCACGAGATCAGTACTCAATCCAGTCCAGAAGCGATCACTTTCGACCCAGAACGTGAAAGCAACACAAGAAGGCATTGAAAACTGATGGGTGCTGTTCTTCAAGTTGTCTCATCTTCTGAAAGTAGATGTAGACCGACTTGGTGTACTGTGAGAGCCCGGCAGCAGCAAGGAAGGGGAGCATGTCTTGCAAGGATTGTAAATGTAACCACCAGTCACCTGAACCTTCGGCTTATAAGGAAGCGTTTCAAGATGTCAATCATATCTATGTACTGAAGCCAGAGACGAAAAATTAAACAGAAAAAAAACTATAAAAAAAAGAACAAAAAAATAATAATTTTAAAACCAGAAAAAATACAGCTAAAAAAAAAAGAAAAAATGGAGGCACACAGGTTTGAACCCTAGTGAAAATGTTTTAGACCTAGTCAAAAAAAGTCTGACGCCTTTACCACTACGCTAGAACGCCACACGTCATTTAGTGTCATGTGAACATTTATATACAGTAGGCCTACATATGCACTTGATAAAATTGAACGTTCTTTCATTCAGCTTCTGTCACTGTCAGTGTACACATCGAGTTTGTTTGTTTGTTTAGTCTACTGGGTAGAAGAGCTCTAATGCAAATATTATAGACCATAGATAAAGTAATTTACTTATTTGTATCAGTTTCCTTTAACATTTCTTCCAAAATCGAATTGTTTTCAAATGATGCGGCAATCGCGATCATTCCGCGGACGATGTGTGCACACGGCAAATTCAGCCTCCGCTAGAGGAAACGGAGTTCACGTTTTCAAGGAAAATTAAAAAAACTTTCCCATTCGTACATTAATGTACATTTTGAGTATTTTAGATACGATGATTTTCTCTATCAAATGCATTTAATTGTGTTTCTTTTGCTTTTATTTTCTTGCGATTTCTTAAATCTGCCAGACTACTATTGCATTAACAGATTAACAGTTTGGTCTTCTTTGTGTCTACCCGACCAGACAGTTTTGTGGACTACAATTATGGCAAAATCATGGAGGGAAATGTGATCCACAAATTTCACTTTATAGGATCTTCGTTGATATAATTATAAAAATTGCAGTTCTGAATATGGCAACATAATCTAGATCTAGTTGGCTGTATATTTGTGTGCTTTATTTAAAACCGCCGCTCAATGACGAGGGCTCCCCTTTTCAGGCCAGCTTAAGAGGTTCCTTCACCCTTTGGTTTACTATTTGAAGGGGTATCTAAACCCTTATTTTAGAAACTTAAAGATAATTTTATAGTAAGATTTTTTTGTTTGCAAACATTTAACTCACACGCACATTCGCACGGACACACATAGTATAGAGTGACCATGACTATAATTGAATGCTAACGATTTTGATTTACTTAAGAAATAAATGAGTAATATTGACTAGAATTAGAATTGTGTCCATTTGGAGGGGGGAAGAGTGGTGGTGGTTGAGCAGTTGGGTCTATCAAAAATAAAATAAAGTTGACAAACCAAAAGGCAAGGGCTCAACTCCGACTATACTACTCCAAGAAAAATAGACCTGCCACTCTATGAAACCTAAAAGTCTGGATCTTAGTGGGGGGAAAAAATTTGGACTCGGTGAAAAAAATTGGGATCAATGACAAATCAAAATCACGTAGGTCACTGCCAAGCTGACTTAAAAAAATTCCAGGGGTGTCCATTACTATGTATATTCTCTCTGCGCGCGTACGTGTGTGTGTAATGTACGCGTTTGTGTGTGTGTGTGTGTGTGTGTGTGTGTGTGTGTGTGTGTGTGTGTGTGTGTGTGTGTGTGTGTGAGCGCGCGCGCGTGCCTGTGTGTGTTTTATCTTTTTCTTTTAAATCCTGAAGTATCATGTCAAGGTCTCCTAGTCCAAGTGTTTTACACGCCCCCCCTCCCCCCTCTTCCCTTCGGATAAGTACCGAAAGACGCTTCAACCAGTGTGCGTGAAATTGACCCCGTCATCGACGGTCCCCGACACACGCGGAACTCACACGCCGAAGTCATGTCACGTGGTGCGAATGCGCGATTGAAACAGTTTTACTGATGGGTCTTGAGGACGGGTCCGACTAATCAAAACTCGGACAAAGCTTGTTTCGTCGAAAGTAGATCATGAAAATGTCTTAAGTCGGAATGCCAAATCAATACTACTTCCAATCCATATAGTTGAAATAACGCGTGTGAGCAAAGATCCAAGACAACTTTTGGTGAGTCAACTAGATTCTACTAAATTCGACAGACATTTCGAAAAATAGTGCTCCGAGTTTCTGCTGACAAAAAGTATAACCAGTGCTTCCCACGACAGAAAAGAAGGCAAGAGTAAGATTTTAGAAAAATCCGGCGCTACAGGCGGAACAAAAAAATTAAACAAAAATCAGGGCACACGCGATCGAAATCGGGAAAATCGGGATGCTTGAGATTTAGGGCAGGGATGAGTGGCAGTTTGATAAAATAAACTGATTCATTATTCTTCAGAGCCATCCCAGGGTTCACATTCCAGTCTTTCCACACTTTTGATGACGGACAATTCATGTTTGGCTATTGTTAGGGGACCGTACGCCCCAATAGCGCTTGGCGCTACGGGACCGTACGCCCCCATAGTGTTTGGCGCGAGGGGACCATACGCCCAACTTGGGGGCTAAGGCTTGGTGTTACGACGGGACCGTACGCCCCCATAGTGTTTGGCGCGAGGGGACCATACGCCCAACTTGGGGGCTAAGGCTTGGTGTTACGACGGACCGTACGCAGATGTGCCTGCTTCTGGACTTTGCAAAAATACTGGAGGATATTAAACTAAACTAAACATGTACTAAACCTATGCGCTGAGCACAACATGATGATTACGAACACATTTTTCCAACAAAGACAAAGCCAAATCAAGACCTGGTAGAAATGGAGTGACCGGAACCATGCATCACAAATTGATTCCATCCTGATGCGCAGAAAACAAAGACATACAGCCAAAGATTCGAGAGCGGTTCCAAACTACATCATCGACACGGACCATAGACCTGTGATACTTACTCTCACAACCCACAACTTAAAGCAAACAAAGAAGAACAGGGGAAAAAACCACGACTGACCTAAGAAAATTTGAAGAACCAGACATCAAGAAAGCAGTCAAGGATGACATTACCAAGGAGTACTTTAAACTGTCACCTGAGATCAAGGACATAGAAGACGAATGGCAAATATTTTAAAAAATCCCTGTCAGAAATGCAAAAAAATAGTTGTGGAACCAAACGAATAGGTGGAAACAAAGGCAGAACAACATGCTGGTGGAATGATGAAACTAAAGAAGCAATTAGAATGAAAAAGAAGAAATTCAAGAAATGGCAGAAGTCAAAGACCGAAGAAGACTATATAGTATATAGAATACAAGAAAGCCAGAAGAGAGACCAAAAGAATCTCTGCTAAGGAAAATGCATGGAAAATATATGTCGAGAAACTAACCAAAATCTGCAAGGAAAGCCCAAGAGAATTTTTTTAAAGTGTGAAGAGCATGCGGATAAGGAAAGACCCATACAACCCGACATGCATTATAAACGATAAAGAGGGAAACGCCATTCTCGGCAAACATGCAATCAAGAAAAGATGGAAAATTACTTCCAAGAACTGCTCAACCCAGACGCTTGCCACGGACAACAAGTTGAGTTCCAACCATCCTGTGGAAATCAAACAACCACCAATACTTCCCAGTGAAATAGAAAATGCACTCAAGACCAGCCCCAATATCAAAGCCCCAGGACCAGATGACATCACAGCGGAAGCCATAAGAACTTGTGGAAACACCGGTATACTGTGGCTGAGGCATATTTTCAACAGAGCCTGGGAACAAAGAAAATGCCCAGAAGACTGGCAGAAAGCCATAGTGGTACCATTATGGAAAAAAAGAGCAACAAACGCGACTGCACAACATATAGAGGCATTTCATTGTTAAGCCACTCAGGAAAAATGTATGCTAAGATACTAGAGTAGCGCATAAGACCTATTGTAGAGAGAAATCTGAGCAAATCTCAGTTTGGATTCCGAAAGGGAAGAGGATGCACGGATGCTGTATTCGCATTACGACAGATATGTGAGAAAACAATAGAACACAACAAAGAATCCGACATCGTCTTTATAGATCAGGAGAAGGCTTTTGGCAGAGTAAACTGTCTCTGGAAGACACTCGAAAAGTATGGCGTCAGAGGACAATTGTTAGATAATGTCAGACCTCTATATACCAACGGCAGAAGCTCAGTAAGAACGAAGGAAGGCAATACAGACTGGTTCAAAGTAAGATCTGGAGTACGACAGGGGTGTGTTCTATCTCCCCTCCTGTTTATAATATATATGGACACAATAACGCAAGAAGCAAACCAAAGCCCAGAAAGCCTAAATGAATTTCTGTTCGCAGACGACCAATGTCTAATTCATCATGACCAACAAAGCCTCCAAAATCACACTACCGAACTCAACAACACCTGTGAGAAATTCAACACGAAAATAAGCACATCAAAAACAGAAGTTATGAAAGTGAGCCGAAACCATAGTCCCCTGAACTTCCATGTCAATAGTAAAGGACTGAAACAGGTGAAAGAGTTTGAATATCTTGGCAGCACTTTTTCTGAAAACGGGTCCATAGACAGAGAAATATAAATGCGAACTCACAAAGCCAACGCTGTCACCTACCAGCTCGCACCCCTTCTATCTCATCCAAACATCTCCATGGACACAAAGAGACAGCTTATCACTTCAATATTCATACCAACATTATGTTATCAGTGCCAGACGTGGACCTTAAGCAAAACCCATGAAAGCAAAATCACCGCATGCGAAATGAAATGTCTCCGCAAAACCCATAACATCACAAGACGAGACAGGCAGAGAAATGAAGAAGTTAGAGCAGCTATCGGCACTGAGTCCTGCCTGCGTTACATAGAAAGACAGAGGATAAAATGGTTTGGCCACCTGTTACGCATGCCACCTGACCAGCCAGCCTTGAGAGCCTACAACACCAAGCACTCAGGCTATAAAGGAAGAGGGAGGTCATGCAAAAGGTGGATCGAGGGTGTCAAGGAAACACTAAGAAAACATAACATCACAACTGAAAGAGCTGCGGAGCTGGCCTACCATAGAAAACTGCATCTCCCCTCGACGCTTAACGGCAACCGAGGATGAAAAAGAAAAAAGAAAGAAAGACTGGAAGAAAACGGCCAGTTTAACAAGGCTCCTGACGCAAGGAGTTATTAATAGGAGAATGTTGAAAATGTTTGAATACGATTGTGAGGTATTCAGTGGCCGTGGGTGAACCAAAATTTGAAATTTGCTCACGTCTGCACCCACGTTGTTGTAATGTGTCAA